AAAAGGAATGGGAATGGAATAGAATAGAAATATAGAACAGGAATAGGAATAATCTGGAAGGGACCTTGGAGATCTTCTAGCCCCCTGATCAAGCAGGAGAACCTACACCATTTCAGACAAGTTCTTCTTTAAAACCTCCAGTGATGGAGCACCCACAATATTTGAAGGCAAGCTGTTCCATTGGTTAATTGTCCCCACTGTTAGGAAGTTTCTCCTCAATTCCAGGTTGTTTCTCTCCTTTTAATAGTTTCCATCCCTTTATTTCTTGTCCTGCGCTGCTTTGGGAAATCATTTGACCACACATACACACAGCCTTTCTTTGTGGCAGCCCCTCAAATATTAGGAGGGATGGGTGAACCTCTCCCAAAAAAAGACAGGTAGGCAACAAAGTCACAAAGCCGAAGGACTCTAGGCAGCGATCACCGGTCGCTTGTGGGGCAAGGCAGCCCATGGTTGCGCAGGCCGAATTGCTCTCTCGCTCATCTACTTTTCTTACATCCTTGGCTCTGATGAACCCGCCAGCAAGAGAAAACAAAGGTATTAGTTGAGACTAGCTCAGATTGTAGTTTTTGGACAAGGGCCTAAACAGCAAGCTCGGAGAACGGACTCCCTGCCAAAAACAAAGGTATTACCCTTCCTCCGTGCGGGTCCCACTCGTCCTTCCCGCCAAAGTAAGAGGCGGCTGCTTACTCGCACAAGACTCTGCCTTTCCTCCCCAAATGTGGAAGGCGGCCTTCCACCTCTACTCTACTGGCGGCCGGATTAAGAAACGGGGACACCCGAAACCCACCCCCAATGATAAGGAGTCGGAGCTGCAAGCAAACTTGCCCCGGTCGCCTCCAGCCATTTGCTGGGGAACCAAGCAGCCCAGTCCTTTACAGCAGGGGTCTCCAACCTCGGCCACTTGCGGACTTCAACTCCCAGAATTCCTCAGCCAGCTTTGCTCTGGGAGTTGAAGTCCGCAAATCTTAAAGTGGCCGAGGTTGGCGAACCCTGCCCTAGCGGCGCGCATGCGCAAGGAAGCAGATTCCTTGGATTGACGCGGATCTCCGGAGTCCCTGAGGTGTTTTTTTTTCCTTCAAAAGGCAACTGAACCTTCTTTTAGTTTTTTTTTTTTTTTGCTTGAAAACGTTTCGCTTCTCATACAAAACTGGAAAAAGAACTTCTCGGATGAGAAGCGAAACGTTTTGAAGCAAAAAAGCAAAAGAAGGCCCAGCTACCTTTTGAGAAAAAAACACCACCTTCGGGACAACTGCGATAACGGAGACTCCCCTCAGACAATGCCTAGGGAGGTTTTAACCCCGCCCCCTTAGCTCGCGAGCTCCTCCTCTTCCTCTCTGGCATCTCCGCCTCTTCCTTTCCCCCCACACCACCCCTTGTTCCTGCACTGGGGGCTTCCGGGTAAGGTGAGTGAATGAGTATCTCTACCTGGCGCTGGTTCCCCGGGCCCGGCAGGAACACCACCACCCCCGAAAGGGTGCCCTGTGATTGGCAGCTGTTCTGGGTCGCCTTGGCTTGGGATACATGCCCTGGTCGTCTCTTCGCGTAACGGTTCAGCTGACTATCGTGCCTGCGCTTGCCCATTATGCACCCTAACCCAGTTTTTCAGTCTTTAAAGAGGGCGGATGTCTAAGAGCTGAAGTCCACGTATCTTGTAAAGTTGCCAAGGTTGAAGAAACACTGCCGTAAAACTCTCCGCGAGCAGCTCACCGTCCTCTGGCTTGGCAAATGGCTTGCTTTAGCCCTTCCCAGGCAAGCTAAGGCAGAGAGGGAAAGAGAATGGGTTTTGCCCCTGGGATCGTTCATGATGGAAGCGCAAGTTGCATAAGCTACCACCGCACCTAAAAATCGTAGTTTTGGGGTTGGAGAAATCTCATCCCAGGTTCCTCAAAAACAAGTAGCCACTTGCAGGCCTGCAGCTGGTTTCTACTAAATCCACATTTTCTGCATGATTTTATTTTGGCAGCGTATTTCGAAACCTTTCCAATCCCGTAGGCACTTGGAAAAAAAATTGCGTAAAAGTGGTATTGTGCTCAATTGATATTATCCTCGATTCTTTTGTCACTGCTTCACTTGTGGAGAAGTAAATTTGGAAGCCACTTCCCCAATATGAATGAGATGATAAAATACAGGGATTGCTGCTCTCTTGTAGTTTAAATTTAAGAATAAAACGACACTAGTTTTCACACACTGCGTCCAGCAACCCAAGGATTCTACAAGGAGTTCTATGACAGACTAAAACCAATAAAGCTTTTTAAGTTTATTCTAGTCCAATAGGCAATTCTCTTACCACTAGAGTTTTGCTTCTTCCTCAGAGTTCTGTGAATTGTTTTTAACATATTTCTATGGCCTGCTCTAACCATTCCTGAAAATGGGTTTTGAAAAGAAAATACCTCCCTGAGGTGTTCTGAAGTGATGAACAGATATTTCCTACAGTAATATTCCTTTAAACGTATCTTAAAGAAATTATAGGAGTTGTAATTCAACATATTGGAAAACATCTGGTTAAACAAAGATTGTTGTAACCTCATAGATGATACATGCAAAAATTACGTAATGTACACTTCTTACAAAGCTGTACTTTTTGGATCGTTATACAGCCACTATTACCCATTTCTGAACAGTTCACAGCCCAGGGTTTGGGCACCCTGCATTAGATCATACTTAAGCTTAAATTTCATTTCCTCATTTTTTGACCTCATTATTAAGCCAGGACCTCTAAATTTAAGAGTTAGATTAACAGTTTACTCAATAATCTAGTATTAAGCAACCATAGCTTAACATGCTGTTTAAAATTAAAATATCAGTATATAGCCTTATTGTCGTGTGAGTTATAAGTATTTTATACACAATATTTCTTATCTCTGTGTTGCATTGCTAATATTTTGGGTATGGGTTCACTTTATTGAACAAATAGCACATTCACACAACTTTAAAAAAATATCTGCAGTTTTGTCTATTCAATAAAAATGAATTAATCACAGATTATTTTTCAGCATTTTGCAGTTTAATATTTTCTTTGTCAAGGTGTCTTACAAACATCTTTTTAAAAGTTTGAAACTTTTTAAATTAAATTTCAAACAATATAACTTTACATTATATTTTTAAATTAAAAAGGTAACTTGACAGTGAACCTAAAAATAATACATGGTTATATGTTTATTTTTCTGCCCCCATCCTAGAATGACATCATTATACCTGAAAAAATTACTGGCTCTCGCTGGAAGGAAAGAAATGAACTCCATAATTCGGTATATTACCAGCGTCAGGGTGCAGTCAGAGAAAAACACAGCAATAGCTCAGATTTGGCTAAAAACAGTACATGATAAGAAAGGCTCTAGCAATCGAGCATTCTGCACAAACGTAATTGAAGAGAAAAGAAAAAAGAAAAATGCCAAAGAAACTTTTGAAAGTGTTGGGAGGAGAATTCCATACAACAGGATACAACTAATTGATGAGAATGGCGAAGACATGGGAGAAATGCATAGGGCAAATGTACTTCGTATCATGGATGAAAGAGGGATGACTCTTGTCCTGCTGTCTGAAAAAACAGATCCACCCAAGTATGGACTAATGACAGGAAAACAAATTTATGAAGAACGTCTCAAAATTAGAGATGAGAAAGCCAGCCCCAACGAAGGTATGCGTGGCTTCTGTGAAAGATACTGGCAATTCAGATGTTATGCTAAGTCCCAGTTTGTTATATAGGCTATGGCTAATTTTAAACCATGGTAGCCTGGCTCACATAATACATTAAGCCAGGGGTGGGCAGAGTTTTATCAGTAGGGCCATATTCCATTTTATTTGATTTCCACATAGGACATGGGCATGTCCTCATCAAATGGGACAAGATTGGTGCGTGTGTATGTGTGCGTGCTCATTTTTACTTTTTAACTGATGAGAACTATATCCTTTTAACAAACTGAAAGGAACTAGTTTGACTCATGATCTTATTTTAACAGGGTCTGTTCAACAAAAGATTATTAAAATGTCCACAGTTACAGAGCAACATGATTTCAGTACAAAAGTAAAACAAATTCAGGAATGGATTGACAAGAAGTACCATGTGAAAATTATGCTGCATCAAAAAACTATTTCAGATGGACCGGAAAAGATGGTAAGCTTATTGAAACATTTTGAGGTATGATTTCTTAGCAGAGATCACAGTATTGTAAGTTCGTTTCTAAAATCACTGTTTCATGTCAAATGGAAAAGGCCAATTTAATGCTCCACTTCTCAGCATATTTCACCATTGCAATGGAGGCTGGGCTGCTTGTAATTCAGCATCACCAAAGGGGGCTTTAGGTTCTCAAATCTGAAGGGAAAGATTGCCAGGAAGTGGTTTCATCTGGGTCAAGACAGTAAAAGCTGACTTGTTGTGTTTGTACTGCCTACTGTTACACTTGTCAGTGAAATAATATCCTGTCCCACTTATTGCTACGCAATTGGAATTACAACATTACTTGAAGGAAGCATCATTAAAACCAGCTAGAATATCTATTAGCTTGAGATCAATACTCTTGAGTTCTTGACTTAGGATTTGGAAGATGCAGTGAGCTTTTATAAAATAAAATGACTGGTTGTATTTAACAACATTCGTTAACTGATGCAAAAATATTCAAACTGTTCATTAAGCCAATTTGTCTTATTTTCAGTTAACAGTTTTTGATAAGATTTTGGATACAATGCGTGAGAAAGCCACGTATCACTCCAAGCCCTCTATTGGTGCAGAAGGAAGGAGTACCTGTATATTGAGACATTTATCAAAGAAAGAGATCCAGAAATTAAATCTTGTGGAGAAAAATAAAGATATTCAGAAGGAGAATGGAAGCAATGTTACGGACTCAGATGTAACCAAGCAGTGATTGTTTTTTCCCTAAAATGGAATGGAAAAAGAATACAAGAAGTGATTTTGGTGCACCGACCTTCAACCTTCTGTACCAATTCTATAAACTTGGCAATGACCACCCTCTCAAAGCCACTTCTTTTGAGCATGTCTCATGATGACTGTTAGGCACATCTAAAACTATTGTTCAAGGAATGGCATTTCAGCCATTAGCAACCTGCTGCTTGCTGCAGATGCTGGCAGAGATTCTTCCACTGAAGATAATTTTCTGCGCTGTTCTTTTGGAGGTATATATCCACTGAGGTGAGAGGCCAGGCTCCGCTTTTGCTGTGGTCTCTTAGGAAGTAAGAAACAAAAGAAAGAACAGTGATGGAATATCCTTTTTTGTCATTAAAAACTTAACAATACAACTGTATGTTATTAACAATCGGGTCAACTGGGTTTTGGAATATCACAGCAGAGTTAAAGGAACTTTAGATCAATTTGGAAGGAGGGAGAAGGAAAGGCTAACTAAAGCAAGAAGAAGCAAGCCAGGAAAAACACCAAAGCTGAGCAAGATTCTATCTTTACTTAATCTCAGGTAGAGATTGAGAGGGTGGGGTACAAAAGATCCTACATTTAATGCCCTTGGGCTATCCTGAAATAACAATGGTGAAAACTCCCAATGTGGCTATGTTGATAGCAGAGGTGCCTCTGTTCTGAAAGCCTGGGAAGGCTGAGGCCTGTAAGTATTTTAACAACAAACTTGGCCTTCCATCCTTCCGAAGTCAGTAAAATGAGAACCCAGATTGTTGGGGGCAATATGCTGATTCTATAAACGGCTCAGGGAGTGCTATAAAGCATTGTGGAGCAGTATATAAGTCTAAACACTGAAAACCCTGCAAACGCAGCCCTATTTTCCCCACTGGAAAACAGGTCAAATATTTTAAATCCCTGCAATGCTTAAAACTCCCATTTTGGCCTTTAACCTCCCCACCCCCCCCACACACAAACCCCTTTGTCAGTAGCAGACAATAATCTATTTATCAACAACTGAAAGGGCAAGACTGTATAAACTTTAAGAAAATCTTCATGAAAGCTTAAATGAGATCAGCTGGGGTTTTTTTGGGATAATTTGAATCATCATGATTAAACCAAACCACTTTGCATGAACTCTGCTGAAGTTTTATATACAGACAATTCTCTTTATTTGCAGATTCTGCATATGTAAATTCACCTATTTGGAAAAATGCTTTTGTAACACAAACCAATGCATGGCGCTCTTCCACTTATTTTCAGGCGTGCAGAATGTCAAAACATTGGAGTCACCCAACACGCATTTTCTAACTGAGGTTTTAGCATTCACTAAATTCAGTAGTTGGGGCAATTTTAGAGAACATGACTATCACGAATAATGATTGTCTATATATCCCATTCCCTAGAGAATCTTATTAGTTATTATACAATTGCAAAAGATTTGCATCAGAGCAGATAATTTCAGATAAATTGGTCCAATCAGAACTAATACATTGGGTCTGGAACAAAGTTGAATTATTCCATATATGGATGGAAATACAGCTGTTCCATGCAGAAATATTTTGGAGAAATAATGATGGGAAGAAGCCAAAGACATTGGTGAGGGAAGAGAGCAGAAGCTAGGAAGATCATGGAAGTATTTGGGCTATTAGGACATTGTTGACAGTTGACAGACATACCATATTGGGAAAAAGGGAGAGGGCGCAGTGGCTGAACCCTTGCCCTACTTACAAAAAAAAATTACTCCAGGATCTCTGTAAGCTTTGTTCTGACTGAGAATAAGAAAATCTGTATTTTGTTTTAGCCAAACCCAGAAGTACAAAAATGTTCTGAATTTTTGGGTTGACCAAACCATTACTTATTCAGAGAAATTCAGGAGACCTTCTGGAATGCAGTGCGTTTCATGTTTAAAAGTATATATTTGTTCCATTTTTTTAAGCTCCTATTAGGAGAAAATTCAAGAATGTGACTTACTTTTGTGTCCGACTTTTTCTTATTAGGATCATGTAGTACCATGTGCCTTATGAGGCTCTGCTGTAAAGAACAAAAATTAATGTTTATGACCTGAAATAGAAGTTGAACAATATTGATCAAATAATACTATTTAAAATGCCTACTTTCATTGCAAAAGTCTTCCCGCAGCCAGGATGGTCACACACGAAGGGTTTTTTTGCCTCATGAAATGAGTGAATATGACTTTGAAGATTGAACACTGTTGTGTATGTTCTTTGGCAGCCATCCTTTGGACATTTAAAAACTTCTCTGTCAACAGCATGAGTTTTCATATGAGATTTCAGATAATCTTTGCGAGTCAATGTTTTGGAACACACTTCACAAGTAACTGGTTCTAGTGGAAAAGGAAAAACAAGAGGCAGAAGCAGAGCTTCTATTAACAATTCCTAAGCATAATTCTTCAAATATCTTCCCAAAGAATAATATTACTATCATTATATTACCTTGACCACCATATTAAAAAATAGTTGTGCAGCATTTCAGGTTCAGAAAGGAAAGATATTTTGAAGGATTAGAGATGCTCTTTAAGCAACTTTTGTTGTTGTTTTTAACCTGGTTTGCATAGCTGCAGTGCCAATTCAGGAGAAGAGAGTTCTATTTAAGTCAGGCATGTCCAACCAGCAGCCAAACAGGCCACATTGGCCCTGGACGCCTGATAATGCAGACTCACAAGATCGTAAACTTTTAAGATTATGTGCATTCATATACATTAACTGTATTATATATCTTATGTGCAGTCCAAGTGGCAAGCCAAAAGATTGGACATACCTGGTTTAAATAGTTATTTTATTTGAATGTATTAGTTGCCCAATTCTAAAGGACAAATATTACATGTACAAATGACATGACAATACTTCAAATTTAAGAGCAAATCAAAACATTTATAGAACATCTGAATCCGACTATAGCTATGGTGTTTATATATTACTTGAGAATCAGGCACATTTCTGAATACCAATCCATATAATCAGTTGAGTTTGATTATATCACATGCTTCTTGTGGACTTTTCAAACATATCTAGTCAGTCACAGCTGAAAAACAGGACAGTGCTCAATGAACTTTCTGTGTGATCCTATGAAGGTTTCTTATACTTGCACATGTACCATACTGTATCTACATATTCATCCCACTTAATACGCATGAGGAGACTCTACCTGTGAATCAAGGTTGATGCATTATGTTTATGAAAATGTTTTTTTTATTCATGAAGGTGGAAATAGAGTACAGGTAGTTGTTGACTTACAGCCATTCATTTAGTGACCACTTGAAATTACAACGGCACTGAAAAAAGTGACTTATGACCATTTTTTACACAACCCATGCAGCACCTTCATGGTCATCTTCATCAAAATTTGGATGCTTGGCAACTGACATGTATTTCTCATGGTTGCAGTGTCCCAGGTTCATGTGATCACCTTTTGTGACCTTCTGACAAGCAAAGTCAATGGGGAAGCCAGATTCACTTAAAAACCATATTACTAATGTAACGTCTTCAGTTTTTGTTTGTGTTTTAAAAACATCTTCAGTGATTCATTTCACAACTCTGGCAAGAAAGGTTGCAAAATGAGACAAAACTCACTTAACTTTCTTGCTTAACAACACAAATTTTAGCCATAAGTCCAGCTTTACCTATACCTGAAGAACTAGTCAATGGAGCTCTAACGTGAATTAGCTTCTTTTTAAGTAACAGAATAACTGCATAACTTTTAAGATGTGTTTATCAATTAATGTATGCTGCCTCAATTATCAAAGTAACTCTACAGCAATTTTAATACTTACCCACATGACTGAGTCTCATGTGTTTCAGGTATTCTGACCAGGTTTTTCCAACAAACAAACAGGTCTCTTTTTTGCATGCATAACCTGTAAGAAAAACTGATGTTAACTGGCTTCAAAAAAATAAATGCATATTTTTATTTGTATCCCACCTTTATTATTTTTACAAATAATTCAAGGCGGTGAACATATCAAACAAGTCTTCCTACTTTCCCCACAACCACCGCCCTGGAGTTGGTTTGGGCTTAGAGGATGAGTGGCCCAAAGTAACGCAGCTGGCTTTCATGACTATACTTTCTATTTGCATTGCACCTCAACTATCTAATAATTTATATATGTTCCATTTGTTTCTGACTGTTGTATAAATTCCTTTAGTGTAGCTTATTCAAGTAATCATGGTTAAAATAATTACATGACCCCAATTCTTACTCTTTTAGCATTATTGAAACAAAAGGAATAATTAATTACCTTGATGAATTTTCTCATGACGTTTTAAATGGCTGGGTGAAGAAAAGCGCTTTCCACATTCTTCATGACCACATCTGTGGGACAACAAACAGTCACTCAAAATTAAAATAAAGATCACTGCTTATGAAATGTGAGGTATAAACACTCTTGCAACTGAAAATAAACTTTTTTCCTTCAGTTCTTCATTCTGTAAAATCACCTTTCAATGAAAATATTGAGAGAAAAATCTCAATTCAGATCAGGAAGGCAAAAATGTGACAGTGAGAGGATACTACATATATATCCCCTTACATTCACAGATTGTTTAGTTTTATGTATTCTGATGTATAATTATATTAAATAAATTTAGCAGTCATTGCCTATTAAATACTGTGTTTCCCCGAAAATAAAATAGAGTCTTATTTTCTTTTGACCCCCCAAAATAAGCACTTGGCCTTATTTTCAGGAAGGTCTTATTATTTTTGAGATGCAGGAGGCGCCAAGCATGGTCATGTCATAGCTACTGCTGTGTTGCAATATTTTCAGGGAGGGCTTATTTTCAGGGGGGTTATTTTAGCATATGCGCTCAAAAGCCCGATTGGGCTTATTATCCAGGGATGTCTTATGTAATAAGCACAATCCAACATTAAAACTGGAAATTTCAGAGGTGCTTAGTCAGATACCATGGTTGGAAAGTACAAAACTCAAGTCAATTTAAACAATCTAAGAAGAGGGGATAGAAAATAACAAGTATGAAAATTGGTACCATGTAACTGAACATTTTAGTACTTCAGAACATTAATGTGTATTGTTTTTACATGAGATACCAATTTTCACACTAAAATATTAGAAGAATAATGTTCACCAGATCAGAGGGAGGAATAAGCAGTGAACTTTTTAATATCACCTGTCACATGTGAATTTAAGCTATGCCAGTCCTATTTGGAGACCTCTACTAATATCTTCCTTATGGTAACAACTTCTAATTCCTACTTGCAAATATTCTTAAAGTTATTAATAAAATTCATTCTCAGGCTTTAACTAGGTAAAGTGTCAAAATGTTTCACTTACTTGAAAAATGGTTCACCAGTGTGTTGAGACTGATGTATTTTTAATTGTTGGTGCTTTTTAAAAGTTTGCCCACAATTTTCAAAGTCACACTATTTGAAAAATCAATTTGGTTACAGTCAGAGAAAATCCATAATAAATTCACAATCTATGATCTTTTATCAAGAGGCTTACTTCAGATATGTAATTGTACAAATTAGGAAAAAGGACCCCAAATCATCAGTAATTAATCTAATGTAGTTTAGAGAATGCACCAATGCAATTAATCTGTACAAACAAACATTTTTCAGAGTGTAACCTGTCCACTATGGCAAGAAAAATATGCCTTGCCTCTCATCATATATAACAAATTGTGATGTACAGGGATGTACACCATCTTCTGTTACTGCAAAGGAAAAGAGGAAACTGTGGATAGGTTTGCTGATGTACAACCTAAGTATGCAAGATAAACTAAGTTCACAAAGTATTCTAAACCAACCCTGTCAAACTGGTGGCCCATGGGTCGTATATGTCACACGTAGGCCATGCCTACCCTGGCTCCGCAAAGGCAAAAAACATCGCAATACATCAAGATCTGGCCTGTGATGTGATCGAGTTTGATGCCCATGTTCTAAACCAACTGATTAAGACTTATGAGGGGTAACTTCAGCCATGGTTAGTATGCATGAAATAGCTTTTAGCAGTGTTTCTCAACCTTGGTGACTTTAAATCCTGTGGACTTCCAGCACTGGCTGGGGGATTCTGGGAGTTGAAGTCCACAGGATTTAAAGTCGCCAAGGTTGAGAAACACTGGCCTACAGTATTAAAGCATTATGCTTTCCAGATACTGGAGACTTCCAACAGATGTTGGAGATTTCAATATACCATTAACCTAGACTTTAACCAATCTGATTGAGGATTATGGCAAAAAGTCTAACATGTTCACATTGAAGATTCCAGAATTGAGAAGATTTCACTAAATTACACAAATTTCAAGAACTGCTTCCTAATGTTTGGAATGAAGTAGCAAAGAAATAGAGGCACTTACTACATATTTCCTCTGATGATGTCTCCGTATAATATGCTTGTTCAAGTTTGATTTTGTTGTAAATGTTTTATTGCAATCATTTACTGTGCACCTATAGAAATATTAAAGTATAAAAATGAATACAAATGCCTGATTTTAAGTAACTCAATACAAATGCAGTGGTTTCAGACAATACAGATTAAACATCTATCTAAATACATAAAATACATTTATTAACATCTGCCTAAATAAAAAATAATTTATGTTGTCAGCAGTACTAAATTTGTTTACTTTCTGCTAAACATACTAATACACTTTCAGTCAATAAAAACTTACAATATAACCAAGCAATGAAACATTGCAATCTAGTTATGTTGTGAGCTATACAAACTGGTGTCAGAATTCGTTAGGGCTTTGTTGCCCAAATGATAATATACTTACACAAATTGTTTTTCTCCAGTATGTGTAAGAAAATGACGCTTAAGATGGAAACCTCTAGTGAAGCCTTTTCCACAGCCTTCAAAAATGCAAACAAAGGGTCGCTGTTAAATTTAAAAAAAGATTTTTTAAAAATGTTGTTTTAATCCTCTTGTTAAATGTCAGCTCCCATTCATGTTCCATTTTTCTCTACTTCCTTTTTGTTGGTGATGAGAACTATTATTTCTCCAGAGTTACATTAGATATTTCTCATTTTGCCAATCCACTCTACTACCTTCTTAACAATCTGTTACTGTCTATAGCCACCAAGTTAAAGACTGACAATTCACAATGAACAAGCAGCAAAATTTTCCAGTTACTCAAATACCTCTATCACTCATTTTCAGCCATCAAAACTGATCCATAATTTGGGTGAAAAAATGATCTGTTTTTAAAACAGTAGTATAACAGAGTAATACATATTAAGGATATTTGACAGTGATTAAAATCTTGAGGCAGGCTATTTTGTTTCCTACTGGATGCTGATGAGAGGAGCACTTTTTCTTGGTGTCCAACTTAAGCCCAGAATGCTCCAGTAGAGAACAACTTGTACTAGTATTTTATGATCTCTGCTAGCCTTTGTTTACCTGAGGAGAAAAGGACAGTAGGATAATTTGCTTCTTCAAATGATTCAGAGAACCAAGAAGCGGCGGTTACAACTGTCACCTCAGTGTAAATAACTAAATGAGTTGCATGTAGTCCATCACCATTCTACAGTAAAATTTGTATACAAGTTTTCATTATATTTTTATCCCACATTTATTATCTATTAGTTAAGATAGTAATTAATATTAATATGTGATATTAAAACTAATACATCAGGTTAAGTACTTGGAAACTTGGAGCTCCGCCCTTCTGTAAGGGAGCCCAAGGGATTTAATAAAAGAAACAGCAGCAATTTAATTCATGGTATATATGTTTAAATCCCAGTTTTATTCCTTTGGCCTCATGCCCAAGAATCTCTATTTCTGACTAACGCCCAGATTTATCAGCCCAACCGAGGTCAAGCGATAGTCTTCTTCCTTAGCTCCAATCCACGGATTCTTACTTGCAGTACGGGTAACCCAGAGAAACAGACGCCACAAGCGCCTCAATTGCCATAGTAACCTCCGCGCATGCGCTCTTTCCTCAACACTGCCCTAACACAGCCTACTTCTTACTGATTGGTCATCCACTCACTGCCCACGTTCCAATGGAAACTGCCGCACTCCCTTCCACAAAGCTCTATTTCCGCCCTTGGAGACCAACGGTTGGTCGTCCCGGAAAATGTTTTCCCACCAATCACCGCTCTCGCTCCTGGCCCGCCAGGTACCCTCTCTAGACCGCCGCTTCAGCCTCCCATACCTCTCCCGTGTGCCGACACAGGTGCGCGTCCAGTTTCCAGCCCCGGTTGAAGGTGGCATCACAAAACGGGAACGAGCAGATGAATATCTGCTCCTGAGAACGGGAACGGCTCTCCCCAGGATGAGAATGTTTGTGCTTCGGAGACTGAATCGTGGTGGTGGTAGTAGCATCGGCGGCGGCCGCCTCCCCGCCAACGAAGTCCTCTCCGGCCATGTTTGGACCATAAATCATGTGATTTGTGCCGTAACTCCGCCTCTCCTTTTTTCGTCCTCCAGGCTTTCGGAAGCTTATACAGTTAACGAACCTCCGCCCTCAGAAAACGCCCCCCCCCGGCGCAGAATGCTTATAGAGGCTGCGTGAGAAGAGGGACACTGATTTTGGCGCATGCGTGCTGCTGCGGTTTTTTTCTTCTAATGGGGGCCTTGCCTCAAGTTGGGCCGTTTCGTGAAACGTTGGCTTTCGCTTCTTCTCCCCCCCCCCCCCGGTGGATTTTTAAAACTAAAACGGTCAATTGAGGAACTCATGTTTGGCCCGACTCTTCATTGTCCCTTGTAAAATAATTACCACCAGCCTTACGAAGCTTTCTTCCTTTCAAATATTTAATTGCAGTTCGGTTTCTACCTGCTTAGATAGCGCTTAAAATGCTTTGAAAGAGTTGTCCTGAATCTCTATATATAGAAGGCAAATACCACTCATCACGGAATCTTCAGAACTGTAAAGTCCATAAACTTGAAAATTGGCACGTACCTTCCTCTTGGCCTCATTAGTGATCACGAAGAAAGGCTTTTTCAAAATGACCATCAGATCATTATTATTTCTTATACAGTAATTAATGTGCTCTGATGTTAAGGAGTTCTACTCCCCCTCCCCACCTGAAAAGAACTCTGTTCCAACTGCCAGGTGCCTCACATTCTGTTACCTCAGTTCAAACTGGCAGACATTCCACTCCTTTGCTCAGGAGCGGTCTGGGGCTCCTTGCAATACTAAACATAGGTACTTCACCAAAATGTCTACGCCTTCCACCTATGGAAATGCTCCCGGACTCAAGACGGCAGGAGCGATATTCCCTTATGTGCTTCGATCACTGATCACCACTAAGCAAACTCTGTCCAACTGCCAATTGCCTCGCATTCCGTTACTTCAGTTCAAACTGGCAGACATTCCACTCCTTCACTCAGGAGTGGTCTGAGGCTCCTTACAATACTAAACGTAGGTACTTCACCAAAATGTCTATACCTTCCACCTGTGGAACTGCTCCGGGACTCAAGACATCAGGAGCGATATTCCCTTATGTGTTTCAATCACCAACCACCACTGAGCCAACGGATTGTGAACCGAATTCCTCCTGCATAGCCGGATCATATAGTTTCATTGCGAAGCACGGTTATCCAGCTAGTACAAAATATTCACGGTTTTAAGAGATACTTTAATATAATGTGGATATTTCTTCCATTCTATTTCAAGTCCACCAGCAGGAACAAAGAGGGAAAGTGTAGATTGAAATAATGTGCAGCAAGATATGAGTTAGTGGCTCTTGGAATAAAGCTTGCCCATCTTGGCCATCAAGGTCTATGTAAAAGTTTATTATTTCTTTATTTATTGAGCTTGTATGTGGCTTATTAATTGAATTTTGGGATGCCAGCAAAATTCTGATATATTGGGAAACTTCACCTCTTAACGATACCTTCTTGAATAGAGTCTAATTTCCTGATGATTAAAATTCTACCATTCCATGCAAAAGTTTTTCCTTGAAATTCATTTTTAACTAAAGGACAGATTCCAATGTTAACAAGAGATTGAGAACCTGTCTGTATTTTAAACATTTCTATATAGGCATTGTAGAGCCAGATTTTTCCAAAAATAGAAGAAGCAACATTTTTAATTGCTTTGCCCGATTATGGGAGCTGAAGTCCACACATCTTAAAGTCGTTGAAATTAAGGAACTGAAGACAGCTGATAAGATAACCAGTTTAAGATCTCTTAAGATTATTTTGGAATAGTGGCAGTGAGAACCTGTATTTGTTCTCAAAATATTTAAATGATTGTTTGCGGGATGTTCAAAGAGGCTATTAAAATTTTTGTCATGCTAATAAAACTATCAACAGTGATGGGTGGTGGATTTTTTTTATTGGGAAAAATAAAGAACAAAAATGGTGTCTTAAATTTCTGGTTATGCCGCACTCTTATTAACCATGCTCTTAGTAACCAATAAATAATGGGCACTGGACACAAGTTGTTTTGCATAAGCAGTTACACCTGAATGTCATTTATATTTCTCCAAATGCCACCGATACAGCATTGTACCAGATATTCTGGAAAACAGAAGGCAGCATCTCAGATGCTTTGCTGGAAACATTGGTGACCCATCTCTAATTAGACAGGGATTTCAACCATCATGCTTATGTGTTTCTATTTGTTCAATATATATGGCTGCTAATTCTTTTTCAGGACTGCTAACAATATTTAAAAATACCACACAACAACATTACAAATGATATACCGGTAGCAGTCAAAAAAAACCTAAAAAATTAATTAGCACAATCATGATACATGCTCAGCCATACCAGGCTGTATGATGAGGTTTTCAGGGCCTTAAAATATTGTTAGCTAGTGCTTTCTGGAAGATTTAATAGAAATATAATACAAACTGCAGGTTTTCTGCATTGTCTTAACATAGTGGAAGAAGCAAAAGCTACTGTTCCCATGTCACAAGGGACTGCCTGTTCTTTAGTTCTATCTCTTCCTGTCTAAAGAGAAAACACCATCCTTCAATCTTGATGTTTTCTTTCCCCAAGGAAATAATCAATATATGAAATAAGCAGGTGCTTTGTCTGCTTTGCACATAAAATGAATGACGCATTCTTTACCTAAGAGCAAGGCTGGCAACATCTCATGGGAACTAGAAAAGCCTATCTGAGCAGACAGAACTATAAAATTCCTGATCAAATGATTCTGTGTCAGCACTATGAGGAAGCTGACTAGTACTAAAGTCTAAAACACTAAAGGCAGTTTGGTAGAGTATACAGTATGTTTAGTTTTTAATATCTGTTTAGCACCAATAGACTTATCAAGGCAACTTTCACATACCTATCACAATACATTGTAAAAAAGAACAATGAGACATCATTCTAGCGATTAGAATGATACACTGGGAAATGTTTAATTCCCATGATCAAAGCAATAATGATTGTTGAGTGTCTAATAAACCTTCCACCTTCAATAGCCCTTTTTAAATTAAATACAAAATACTTAGCAGTAGAGCCAGAGAAAATACCAGTCAGTCATCAATTCTGAGCCAATGTTTTAAATTTCTGTTTCAGAAGTTCATTATGTAATATAATTCACATTATCTGTAGTCCCTACCTAGTCGTAACTGATTGTGTATGATAAAATAAGAAAACAAACTAGCATAAAATATTTTTTCTTCTGAAATCCAGTAGGAATTGGAAGTGAGATTTCATTGTATTGGGTATTTTTTGCTCTAAATCAAATAGACATGGAACTGTAATGAAACTTTTCAGGATTTAAAAAAAGAAAGCCAAAAGAACTTATATCAAGAGAAAGAAAAAACTTCATTTTTAAAAAAAAGAAAACATGTTTATTTTTATATTGCCTATTAATATATGAAAGCAAGTCCTAGTTTTATAAGTACAGCATGAAATTTTGTAGTTCGGATTCCCAGTTGAAAAAGTTCCTGACAGAAATGTGTATTACATTAAAATAATAATTAAGATACACCAACTTATTCAATGATAGAATACCATATGTATATGCATATATGGCAGATTCTTGAACACAGAATTGTATCTGTGGTCAAAGAAAATAGAAACAAAAATGCATATTCATTTTTCTACCCACTTTTCTTTAAAAAAAATTCCTGAATTAAATTCAATAGAAGTTTTCATAATGCCATAATGCTGAGTCCTATATTAAAATCATGAATATCTATTTGTGAGGGACTGTTTTAGAAACATCATCAGATTTGTCAGCTGATTATGGAGTCATACAGTGGACAATCTTTTATTTTGACTTTTATGTGTGCCTTGATTTTATTTGCAGCTTTCCCCTCAGTTTACCTCATAATTTATCATCTCTAGAGAACACTTTACGTTCATCGAAAAAGGCATTAATCACTAGTGCTAAAGAATAAAAATAAGGTTACCTCTTTTTTTTAAAAAAAATTAATCTTTTTATGTTGGAAGAAAATGGTGGATTTTTAATCACTTTAAGGAAGTTTGGAATGAAGGTCCTTCCTATTAATTTGCATAAATAATTCCAGCATTTTTCTTTTTTAAAAAATGAACTTAAATGTTTCCATGTTTACGCAGGTAAATCGGCCACAACCAAGTCAGATGTTTTCTATTATACTTTTACTAGTAAGTAAGGTTCTCTAAATCGGTAGGTTTTGTTCATATGGAAGCTATGCTTAAAAACATAGTAAAGAAGATGATTTTAATGATAAGCATTGATTGATCTGTATTTGACTTTGCCACTTTTTAAAACAACGTCAACAACAGCATTTGGCAAGCATCTTAAAGAGTCCTTCCTTATACAGCACAAGCAAGCACTCCATCAACCTTTGGGATAGGAAGCGCATCTGTCTTCTGTCTAGTTCCTTTCCTAAATGTCTCCCTCAATTAGATTTTATTGGAGGGAGGGAGTTGTAAATGCTCCTTTCTGTTTGAATCCTCAGGTTAACAATGCCCCCTGTGATGACCAACACAAGATGTTGTATCCAGGAAAGAGGTGCACTCAAGTAAGAGGAGATCTTTGTGACAGTATCTCCCAATATGGTCCCCATGCCCAGCTAATCACATTAGCCCAAGAGAAAAGAGGTGGCTACTAGACAGCCCAATAAAGAAAAGGAGAAAAGCAAGACTAATCTTGTTAAAAGGGAAGCAAAGATAGACGCTACCATTACACAGTGGTTTATAATGGCCCAATTTTCCCAGGGTTGGCATCACCTGTACCATTCTCCCAAACTTGCAAAAATGGAAAGAAAATCTGTGTTTTCTAAAGAAGGCTTAACTTTAAAGCAAACCATGTTTTCCATGTTTTCTAAATCATTGGGACAATGGCTTCCATAAGTGTGTCTGTGGGTAGCATATATGGAGCACATACACACGTTTGCATTTATATGCACAGAAAGAGAGCCATTTGAGGACTTCCTTGTAGATGAGTAAGTAATATATTCTGCATTCCATCATTGGATTATCAGTAATTGGGA